TATTCATTGCAGTAGGAACAGATCACAGATTTTCAAAAAACAACCTTGTACAAAATATGATTCAAGAAAAATCTTCTGCAACATACAGAGAAAATAAAGTTTGTTTTTCTGCATGAACAAATCAATTCAAGTTTTTTTTTCTCAACTTCTTTTACTTACTGAATTTTATTTCATACTATTGAACTAAGTTTGCAAAACTGTGAAGATTTTGTTGAGGTAAAGTGTTCTTATTAAAACAGGATAACTTCAGGCTGCTGGTGTTTACAACTACAGTATTATATTATTAATGGTCCATGAGATTTCTCATCTAGCCTTTGGCAAACAAGTTAAGCAATGTACCTGTCAAGCATGTGAGCACATCAACATTTACTTGTCCACATTCATGAAGCTCGGGAGAGGGAGAAGACATGTTTTCTGTTCTTTAAAGGTTGTGGTGATAAAATAAATGACCGTTTGAAGGGGAGATAAATTGTTTGCATGCACCGTCCTCCATATGCTTGCCTGGCTCTCACAAGGCAAGACATAATTTGTCTTTTCAAGGTAGAAACCTCTCTTTAGGTGACAGAGCACCTTGAGGAGTCCTGTGAATGAAGAAATTGTGTGATAAACTTGTTCTGTACAGTTGCTTCCATAAGATTTCTGCAAAGAATGCTTTTGATGTTGTTGTTCCTATTTTATGCATGCCTTCTCAAAATTATGTGCAGGATGGTGTTTCAATATGGAGAGTTAAGTGGGGATTTAGGGTTTATAGGGTTGTTACAAACTGTGAGACTCCTGAAATGGCCTAATTGAAATAGTGTTTCTTTTTATGATAAAGGTTCACTTTTATACTGTCAATAAAAAAGTTTTCTTTGAATTTAAACAGTCATTCAAAGGTATTTTTTGTCAACCTTGTTTGCTGTGAGAGGAGTCAATATTTGATCAGTAATTGGTGTTTGTACTGTTTGTAAGTGATGGAGATCAGCTGGATCAGGACTCGATGTTCTCATTAGAAGATTTGATTTGATAATGTGGCCATCTTTAAAAGAGGAGAAGGCTTTTCAGAAGGTCTTTTGTGCTAAAACTGATCAACAAACAGGAGCTTAAAATGACACCATCATCATTAGCAAATTCTCTTTAAGTTAACAAAAAGCTGCAGGGAAAGAAAATAAACTTTTATTTGCACAATACCAATCTCAAACGTACTGAAAAAATACACATCACAGCTATAGTTCAAGCTTCTCCAATTGAAGTTGAAATCAGTTCTTTTAGGTTTGTTTCTTTGTTTTGTTTTGACTTTGAAAAGTGGAGGAACAAACTAGAAGCAGAGCAGTTTTGGGGGCAAATCTAGCAAATGCTACTTAAAATACTTCTTATTCTCATCAGTGGCTCCCATGGCAGTTTCCAAAATGGATTATTTAACTCTGATGCATACTTTGTTGCACAACATCAAAAGACAAAAAACAAATACTTTATGAGCGTATGAAGAATTTATTCATTGACCTGAATTTGAAATGAGCAGAAGCTTCTTGACAACTTTATGTTTGAAATGATCACAACATTGTGATGGGATTAGATCAGCTAGAAGAAGATAAAGTTTACTTTCGAAAGAACGTTAGGTGTTTCAAACCGAATTAGCGTTGACCGCCAGAGGGAAATTGTAGTACTGGCAGGAGATTGATCTTTTCACAGGTAGTCTCATGTTATACTGCCACAACATAGTTGCAATTTTAACAAATATGTAAAAAAACAATTTAAAAAAAATAAAAGTTAGATATCCTACCTTTAACAGTTACATGTGGAACTTAAAGTGGTTGCTAATTAGCAGCACTGGTGCTACTTTATTTGATCAATTTAACTCCAGGATTCCAGATGAAAAGACATAAATATATTTGGGAAGTTCTTGCTTGAGTATGAAAATCCAATAGCTACATTCCCCAGGTGAAAACAAGGTGAAAACAATTCTGGCCACAGTTACCAAATGATTCAGTGTGCCTTTAGCTCTCCTCCGTAACCTCAGGTCAAATGTCAACACTCAGATGAGGATCTTGCGTTCTAAATGAATTCCTCTCCCACTGCAGACCTGCAGGAGGGTGATAAACTGGGCGAACAGGAACTTGCACATGCACACAAATGCTCAAAGAACTCCCAAGGACCAACATGGCATCAATTTAATTCTGCTCACCAGAGGCAAATCAAAATCTGCCTGGGTCCAACACGTTTTCCAGCAGATAATACAGGGGGAGATGCAGCTCTCCTTCCTGCAGCCATGTATCACTGTGCTAACGTGCAGTGCAATGAATGCTCGAAACAGGAGGAAAGAGATGAAAGAGGGAGTTAGCTACTGGAGCTGGAGTCGGTGGGAGATTTTGAGGAGGATTTTTCTATTGATGCCCCTGGTGACTTTTTACAGCACACAAGCAATAGCTGGCTAGGAGTAACAGCTCATGTGAGGCTTACCAACACACCTAAAACCACAGTTGAGGCTTTGTAATGACTTCTCATCACTGAGGACCAGAGAAATCTCTTTCTTTTTTTGTTTTGCACATGGCAAGTGTCAGCTGGAGTTTTACACACTCTGGTGAACAGATAGTGTGCAAGAGAAAAATGGATTCATCACCAGAGGACTGCCTACATGCTTAACTGCTCCTCCTGTCTCCCCTGCTTACTCAGCATATTGATTCTAGCAGCATATACACCTACCTGAAGTAAAAGCTTGGGTGTTATACACTGCCAGAGAGGAAGAGATGGCTCATTTAAAAGGCATGGATTTGGACAGCAGAGTCAGTGCTGCAGTTTATTAAGTGTGAACATAGTAAGACAGCAGAATTGGTCAAATTGGTGAACTCTGAGCAAAACCTTATCTTACCATCAGCTCATAAGCTTTATGATAAAGATACAGATAATTTTGCAACTGAGCCTCAGTAATACCATTAGGTAGTTTCATGGTTCCTTTTTGGTTTTAATGTAACTTTTGCTATGTAACTGCTTCTGCTGTTTGAAAGCATTTTTTTATTACTTTCTTCAAATTCTGAAGTTTGTATTTACTAAAATTACTGAATAAGTTGTTTTTAAAGGCCTGTATTTAAAAAAATCATGGCGTTATGCTCCTTAAAAAAGTTAATTCACAACATTTGAGTAGAACAGATGGACCTGTTGATATATTTGAAGTCAACACCTTACGTGGCATTATAAAGCATTTTCCAAGCATATAGTGACAAATTATAGCACAATCAAGTAACTATGATAATTTCAGTTGTTATTCAAATCCAGAACGACTTAAAAGAAATTTGACTTTGTACTTTAATGCCTTGAGAAACTCCTGCTTTCTGAAACTCCCTTCAAGAAGTCATCACAACATGGCTCCTCTATTAAACCTTTAACAATGTTTTTACCAGAACTGCACTGAGAAGAAGCTTGTATAACAAGCTCAGCAGATGCACAGTTCCACCAGGTGTTTGCTAATTGCTGGTAACTAGTCTGAAGGAGTTAAGTAAGAGAATCATGGGGGAGAACTGTCTGTAACTTGGGAAGTCTGGACTCTGCAGATGAATGGTTGCCACAAGAGATTAAAGGAATACTCAAACATGCATGAAATAATCAAGACTACACTATAGGTATGCTTTTAATAAGGGAAAAACATTAAAATATGATGTAAAGCTCCAAAAAGCTGATTTTATGTGTTACTGTTGTGTATTACTATTGTGGTCATTGCAATATTTATGCTGATCATGTGTGCTATTATTGATGTGCTTATTTTTGTTACAAAAAGGTAACTATTTCTCTATTAGAAACATTTAAAGAATAACAACAATTCAATATTTTAAGATAAAATATTTTTGCTCAAAAATTGGAAATAGACACTGAGTGTGAATTGAGGAGATCATGTTGGTTTTAAAATGTCACAGCTCCTATTGCTACATCTATTGAAATGTGCTGCCTACAAAAATTACTAAAAACAAGAAATCCAAGCCCCAACATACATCACATTATTCATACCAGCAGATTTTACAGTGCCCTTAACCAAGGGTGAGACAGGTGATGCAATAAAGAAAGCAGACAGGCATCACATTGACTATCAGCTCATTTCATATCATCACCAAAGACTGAGCAATCACACCTCGCGGCTTCCAGACAGCGAACCTTTTCACGTGAGCCTCGCATTTTGTGTGGTGTGGAAAATAATTGCCCTTCTTGCCAGGCGGCAGCGTCATTAAGTCAGAGGAAAAGTGAGACATGCCATCCGGTTAAAATGATAGGACACACAGGAAGGAAATGGCAGGCTGTTCAGCTGGCAAAGACCTGCACTGAATGCCAAACATTTCAGCTGTTTACCAAGTGGAGAGATGGCTGAGAGAGGCTGTATGACTGGACAGGAGCTGTGAGCTGACTGGGTCACATTGATTATATGGAGACGCTGTCAAGTCCACGTGATGTCCAATAAAATATTCTTTCTCTACAGAGCTAGAAGGATATATTCAAATGCTTGTCCTTGACACAAAAAAATAGCTTTTCAAGATGCTATATAATATTTGAGGACAGGAAAGGCTCCTCAGACCAAAGAACCTATTTAAAATATTCACAGTGCTTCATTTTTTCCTCATTGTTATTCTACTTATTCCAAATTGTATTAAATTAAATCCTTTCCTCCAAATTTTACACTCAAAATTCCTACAATGTGGAAATAAAAAAAACAAAAAACAATTAAAATCACACAGGAATAAGAATGTTTCTGCAATGACATTAAAAAATATGCCACACCATAATCCTCCATCTTCTTCATGGTTTGTACCAGTGGCAACATCCAGTTGTTGGTCATGTGATTTGTGTGACACTGATAAAGTGTTGCAGTTTTGCATTTTCAATATGGCCAAAAAGCCACCTCATCCTAGTGCCAAAACTTTATTAAAAACAAGTTATTTTTTTCTCAAAATGGCATGTTTCTTAATCAAATTTATTTATGAAATGTCAAATTACTTGATTATATAATGGAGACACATCTCCAATCATTAAACAGTAACTAAAGGTACTTAAGGAGTGTCATTTATTGTTGGTACAAAATACTTCACAGTGACCTGAAGTAATACACCATCATTAAATCAGAGACCCTTCTTAAAATTATTAAAAAGCAAAATCATTTTAATAAAACAAAAAATAAGTGAATCACCTGAAATCCACATGCCAACACAGCTTATTCCAGACTGTTCACACATGGAGAAGGTGACATTAAATGACAAAATAAATTTCTTTTTTACAAGAGACAAAAAACAAGTTCAGTATACATAACAATCCATCCATTATCTTCTCCTTATCCAGTGTTGGGTCATGGATGCAGCAGCCTACGCAGAGAGGCCCAGATTTCCCTCTTCTCATCCACTTGGAAATGTAACAAATTACTTATACTGTAAGTATCTGTACAACAAGCAGTTTTTGTTTACCATTCCAACAGGGATATTCTTGAAAACGACTAATTTAGGTGGGTGGGTCATACCTCTGTTACAATTAACACAGCAGATTCAGTTGGCAAACAGTTACCAATTTTGGAAAATGTGTTTTAACTGCTTTGCATAAAAAGCAAAAATAAATTCAAAATGGTTACACAAACATGGTACATAGTCACAATAATACAGGAAATAAGTAAGCGTTTTAAAAGACAAAAAAAAAAAAAAAAAAGAGCTTTGAAATCCTGCAACTATATTTTATTTCGAAAATCGGGGTAGTGTATATGACAATATTAGGTACAAATAAAAAAAGCCACATGGTAAAACTGAAAATGCACCAACAAGGAAGAGAGTGGATGATTGAATGAGTTGGCGGTAAGAGGGCGGGACAAATAAATGAACAGATGGGGTTGGGTAGGGCAGAGCCGGCGAACATTTCACGCAGCAGACCGTCGACGGATGACAAATGTTCCTCTCTGCAGCTGTCCTAGGTAGATCCTCATCTTTGTACTGTCACTCGTCTTCCTCACCCAAATCTGGACAGCGAACACAGAAGGAAAGGAAGACTTGTCATTTATCAATGTCATGAAAGGTTGTAATGATTGTTTTGTTCAGGCATAACACTACAAATGCCTTTCCAACATTTCCAAGTTTTAGTGTTACATTCCTAACAGTGCTGGTTTGTGGTCAAGCTAAACTTTTATATAGTAAAATGAAAATAGCCTGATCTTGATTCAAGATTTAACCTCAAAATTACAAAAAACTGATCCCACAATTGTAGTAGTTTCTAAATATAACACAAAGCTAAATTCAAAATAATTTGTAGTCATGGGAAAACCAAGTTCACTTTTGTTGCTTTCTTAGAATTGGAAAGAAAAAGTAGGAGTTGGATGCTGATCATCAAATGCCACTGTTTTATCAATCATCACTGAGAGATACCACAACTGTAAAAGCATCTGATTTTGCTGTGTGTTGGTATGTAGACAACAGCTGTGGGTTAAAGTTAACAGTTTTAAAAAAAGAAGACCTCAGAAAAGGTAGTTGCCCATCCTCCCAGGAGCAGAGGATCTGGCAAATCTTTCTCAAGGTCAGAGTGCACGGTTCAGAGAAATTGCCAAAGAAGGTTAGCATGTTCAATGTTATAGCTTGTTCTATTCAAGTAGGATATGGTAGCCTGACATTAATTTGCCAGTAGAGAGGAGACACCACAGTTTCTTGACTATAAGTCACAGAACGACTCAGCAAGCACCGAGTTGGAGGAGTGATGATTTCAATTACAAAATACTTTAATGACCCAATTGGAAATTAAATGTTGTTGTAACTCATTAATTCAAGATTCTTCAAAAGAAAAGTAGAAAGGCCAAAAGAGCACCAGAAGAATCAGAGAGACTGATGCTGCTAAAGGTGGTTCAACAAGCTCAGTCATGGTGAGCAAACAAAGCCTTTCCATTTTGGATTCATTTTAGTGTCATTTCTGGTGTGTATTTGTATTCACTTGAGATTGAGCTGAAATAATGTAGTAAATGAACTAAGTTCATTTACTATGTTACTTTATGTAAAATTATAGAAGTTGATATAGGTTTAATATAGGTGATGATGAATAAAATGGCTCATTTCGAGTCTTATGAAATTAGTGGAAAGTAAGTTCATAACTTTCCACTAAGAGAATTGTCAAGCAAATTGTCTTCACACAGAAAAAAATAATTTTTGTAAATACATAACACTGGAGCAGAGTTGCTTTTTAACTACCAACACCTGCATGTTTAAAGGATGCAACCAATTCAACTAATCAGCCAATCAAATCACTGTCGACAACGCTTTACATCTCAGCTATAAAGGCTGCCCTAGATTTGAAACTTTCCTTGTTCATTTCAAATCTATTGCTTCAGTTAGTCATAAAGAACATAAAGCATTTCATCAGCTCTTAAAGCCATAGCAGCTGCCAGATAACAAGATTAGAAATTTGCATTAGCATTTGACCTAAATTACAAATAAAACACCAAGTGAGCAGGGCTAATCAAGCAGATTGTACTGACTTGTACATGCAACACTAAAGTCAATTAGTTATTCTTGTACTAAAAAAGTTTTAATGATCACAAAGTAAATGTAACTTAATCAAAGAGTTAAGTGCACTAATAACATGAATAAATTTAACTTACCTCATTGGTCCCAACTGAGCTGATGACGCAGCTAATCTTTGTGTTATCCTTTGATTCCAGGTAAATGGCTTGACTTTTATGGTACCTGTCCCATTAAAAAAAAACATTGATTTGACTCAGTCATAGTCAAGGAAGGAGACAACAAAAAGTTGCAAAAGTAGTTTTGACCTACCCCTGACCTAAACAAACCACATTTATCCTGAGAAAGCACCAACTAGATAATTGGATTAAAACATCCACCCAAAAAGTCTGGATATTTCCAAACTGGTTCCAAACTGTCAACGGACAAAGCGGAGCAAGAGGAACAGATTGGTGCTGAAAATATTTGATCAAGAGTCTACTGAAGAATAATGATGCATGCATCTCCCTGTGGCGCTTTTGAGACAGCTTTCTGTTGTCGATGTCTTCTTCAGCCGCGAATAAATGAGACTTCGCCTTCAAAGGGACACAGCTTGCACCTCACAACTTGCTCCTCTCAACTTTCTCTGGCTACGGCAGCAGCTAATAGGGCAGAATTCTATTATCTCCTTCGCCTTTGAAAGGAATAGATGTTCTGACATTTCTGATTCAGACCTCCACTCTCAAACAGAAGGGTGTCAGGGCTGAGTCTGGTCAAGGATTCTTATTATCTTTGCATATAAATCAAAGGAGAGTGCAACATTGGTTGCTATGCAGACGCATTGCCCAAGAGGAGGTTTTTCATGTTTATATTTGATTCAAGCATTGGTATACATTCAGTAAAAACTGATACGGTTTTCAGCAACTTGAAAACGTGCATTGAAGACCAAACACGTAACAATGGGTCCATCTAGTGGTGGCAGATGTAACACGTGAGCAACTTAAATTCCATCCTAAAAAACACAGTCATGCTTTCTCTGACAACAGAGATAAAATCTCACCATCTTTTATCGTAGTAAAGTTTCCCTTCCTCAATGCGGGCCTCGTAACGCTGGGAGGGGTTCTCCATGGGAGCGGAGGGAACATGCTCAGGAGACGAAGGAGACACTGGACATGGTGACACAATCAGAAACATTACAAACACACAGAAAACTCAGCTATAAAATCAGCTATATCTGCTTTTGTTGAGGGGCTTCAGTTTCTTAACTGGATGCGAAGCCAGTAAAGAAAAACCATAACAATCTCTTTTAAATTGTTCCAAATTGAATATATTTTAGTCAAGCAAACAATAAAATTGACTTAATCAAGAGCTTGCTTTGCTTGACCCTTAATATGCTGTTATGGGAATAAAAATCCTTATTTTATACTAATGTCTTCCACATTCACTTCCTCCATTTTATACGTTGGAATTCATAAAACCTAACCAAGCAGAAAGCCTCTCCTTTTCCCACCAGACATTGGCAATATGTACTGCATAATGAAGGTTTTAGAGTGGTATAGTTGAAACCCAAAAAAAGTTATTATTGACAAGGAGGGACATGATTTTAAACATAACCCACATCAATCATTGAAATTCCAATGTGACTGAATTAAAACAATTCTGCAATTGATAGTAAAACATTTAAAAACTGAATTTTGTCTTTATTCAGGTTTTTGTTTGAATTTAGAAAATGTTTGATATTGACATGGACGTGTGACAAGGAAAATCAGAAGAACTGGAGATGGAAAATGTTTTGTACTACAATAAATATCAAGCAGTTCCCTTAAAATAAAACTTAGCCATTGAAGATGAGCTCTGACGTACCTGGTCGTTTCGGTGACTTTAGCTGTTAAAAAAAAAAAAAAAAGAAGTGATGAAAAATATTTGAAATCAATTTTATGAACACAAAAAATTTATGTTAGAACTTCTGTGAGAACAGAAGTACAAACCTTATTAAGTGTTCTTAGGTCTTCCATTATCTGGTCATCTGTTAATAAATAATTTAGCTGAGGTTTGAAGAGTCAAGGTAGACAGTTCTTGCATTTTAAAGATGAATTTCAATACATGGACCGATATTCATATGTAGCTAATTGTACAGAGTTCATGGAAGGATATCTGGTGCCGGTTTTCTTCGCTTGTCTGGGATTGGGACTGGATCATTGGGTCGCCTCCTCAGCTTCCTCGTCATGATGGGTTTCACCTCCATCGAGTCTGTTAATGACAGAAAACATTATATTATAATCATTATACATTTTCAACTATGATTTGTTCTAAAATATGCCAGCTGTGATTGCATTTATCTGGCTTCCTTAATGCTCTATAGAGATTTGAGTTCCTATCATAGTAATGTATTCTGGGTGATGTGGAACCATCTTATTTAAATCAAAATGTCATAAAACAGGATTAAAAAATGCTGAATGTGATGCTATCAGAAGCTCATTTATTCTACTGCTGCTGTACTCTGGGTAACCAGTGGTACTCTAAAGTACAAGCTCGAAAGCTCCAGGTTAGACCATCGAAATGGTCTAAACTCACTCTACATATGAATTTTATCTACCAGTATTTCAATTCTTAATTAACAAACATATTCATGTTTCCTTACCACCTGTTAGCTCCATTGTTAACTTCTCATTCTCAATCATCTTTTTCTTTTCCTCCAGCTCTGCGATTAGGTTTTCTTTCAGTTCAACTTTTTTATCATCAAACTCCTTCACCGCTGCCTTCTTTTCTTTTATGTAGTTCCTCTCCACCTGTTCTGTCTGCAGAAATTAAACAGACCGTAACCACGTTTACCTTTTAACTGAAGGGAAAAATAAAAATACAAAACCTGCTTTTTTCCATCAAATCTACTTACCTCCAGGTGAAGAAACAGCTCTATAAAGAAAAATAAGAAAAAAAAGATCATACTTAATTTCAATCTCCAGTATCTGATCAGGCTCAAAACTTTATGGATTGATATTGTTTCCTTGTTGTGTTGTGAAATATTAATCATGTTTCCATCAAAGAAAATATAGAATATTTTGAATCAAAAGAAATTCATGAAGTAAGAACTACTGAAAACCAAAGTGAATTTATGTTGCTGTAGGATGCTGATTGCATCAACCTGCTGAGTAGATCAGCTGATCTTGATTCTTCAGGAATAGTTTTCACTATTTTATATTGCATATTTCCCATCATATGAAAAGTTATCCAAATGTGAACTATTACTGACAATAAACATTTACTGATGAAAGACATTCCCAAGGCAGGAAATACATAATCTTCTTGTCTAACAGCAACATCATAAAAATGCTAACTCACATCTGAACTAGTACAAATTTTACATGACCACTTATTATACGTAGATTGTTGTGACTGGCAAACATTTTTCCCACCTTTTAAGAGAAAAACTCATCCTACATTACTTCAACATGATTTGGTTCATATCCTGGTGGACATTCAGGTAAAACACCCACTACAGTACAGATTACTCCAAAACTTACAGTAACCTCCTCTGAATATGGATGCATCTACATTAAAACGCATCGTGTTCTTGCCTGCATTTCGAAGTCTCTCTTTGTACTGCTGGTCCAACTTCTTCATCCTTTTCTGATATTCCTGCAGAGTACCTGCAAGAACAAAAAAAAATAAAAAATCTGAACTCCGTCTTTCTGTGTTATCCCTCATCTTACTGGCTGTTTTAATTCATTCTGTGGAAAACTGAACCTTGGACTTTTGTGACTTTGAAACAATAAACTCTACATTTCAAAAAGCAACAAAAAAGCACAAAACATTCAACAATAGTTTCAGTCTGAACTCAAAGTACTCTGTGGGAGCAGCTGGTGTGAATACAGAACTGTAAACAGCAGTCAGCAGCTCAGAAACAGTGAGTATTCATAAACAAAAGGCAGACAAGATAATTATTTCTCATATTCAAATGTCATCAAACTAAACATAGATAGAATGCACTTGCTTTCTGACATTTACTGAAAATCAATACTTTATTTGCTACCTTCCTGCAGCTGCTGCAGCTGTCTTTTTAATGAGGCCAGTTTATCCTGGTACATTCTGCAAAGAAATAAATGATACAGGTCATAATCATAGAAAAAGAAACTTGTAATCTAAACTTGTAGCAAGAAAGGGTAATTCTCTTACTGTTCCTTGATTTCCACATAGTCCTCCTCATCATGTTTGGCAAGATCTGTTTCACTGGCATCTTCTGTGTCTGGAAGCAAGAAGGACAGGAACTGAACTAGAATACTGAAGTCTAAATTAAAGTTTAACACACATATTTCAGGAGTTTTGTCAGCGTGATCGCTATGGTTGTCTTAGGCAGATGAAAGAACGTGCGTGGCACTAGTGAGGTAATGGTGAACACCCTTTTCTTAGGATGCCCTCGGATGTGTTTGAATGGAGATCACGTCCACATTTGTGAAACAACACGAGAAAAAGTTCAGCTAAACAATGACGTTGTGGATAAAACCAGAAGCTCATCTCAGTGAGTTTAATCAACCGACATCATCAATAACATTCCGTGTTATTTAAAACTTTTAGCATTTGCGGCATCGGGTGATTATCAGCTGCTGTTAGTGGTGCTGTCAGTCCACCGGTTTCTCAAAAAAAAAGGACGCTAACGTTTTTCACCGATGCTAAGCGTCGTGTCAAACTTAGAAGCAAAGTTTACAGTCAAGAGGCGAATAGAATCGGTTCGTTTTTATCCCAACAGACGGAAAGAAAAGAAAGAAAAAAAGGCCAAGTTAAGCTGACACAGCAAGTTTCATTTTCAGTTAGCCTTTGTGTGCTAGCTGAAGTTAGCTCCGTCTGCTGTTGGAAGAGTAACCCGGCTGTAGCTCACAAGGACATCAGAAACACATCAGAAGGAGCAAAACTACATAAAATAAACCAAGCTGTTCGTCTGGAGGTTAGTTTCAGAGGACTAGCGAACCTTGTAGTGTTGTCATCGCCTCGTTTTGTTTCTTGCCTTGCTTTAATAGAGATCTACCGCAATCCGTCTGGTCTGAGTGAGGAGTGTGAAAAGGGCACAGCAGTGGACACAGCAGGCAGGGCCAACCTGTCAGCGCTCACAGCTAACGTCACCGAGCTCAGTGGCTGCCTAATTATCAGAGCTTATCATGAGCAAAAGCTACTGGGGAGGGAGGGAGGAAATAAATGATCACAGATATGGCAATGAATGAAAAAAGTTTATCCCGTAAAATTCCCCATCTTGGAATACAGCTTCCCATTACATCGGTTGATAGATTCGTCTCATACGGGGCGAGACAGTAGTTACAACGTTGTTAAAAAATTGTGTGACAGAATATCCTAAAGTTGTTTTTTCATTTATTTTCATATGAATACATTAAAGATACACCAATCGTTCAGCACGAGATCGTAAAGTATTTTCTTTTTTTCTCATTATTATGTACAATAGCTTTATCCTATTGATTGATGCAACAAAACTTGCAACATTTTCAGTTCATAAACCAACAACATCTAATTCCCCCTACACATTTTTACGAGTTGAACAAAAATCTGATATTTGTTCAGGACACATGCCTCTATAAAACGTTGCAGTACATTTTCTCAATTGTCCTATTATGACATACAGCTCTTTAGGGAGAAAAAGAAATCAAAATCCGTCAGAATGATTCTGACGGAGACCTCACACTCAGTCGGGAAAAAAAGCTTGTATATCTAATAAATACTTATTATTAATGAAATACCAACCTAACTGAGATTAACTAACTGAAGTTAATCTCTGTGATCACCAGATCAAATACTGAAGGATATGTTTTTCTCCTCTTTATGAAAATGCAACAAGATTGAAAAGTCAAGTTTCTGGTTCGAAAGCATTCATCATATTTCCTGAGCAGGATTTATTGAATTTAAATCTTTCCTTTACGAAAATTTCACGTTATTCTAACCAAAATAAATACATATTTTTCCTGATATTTTATGTTGAATTAAATATTTTCAGTCCAGTCTTTTAACTGTGAAATACATTTCCGCTAAACAAGTCTTTATTATTAAATAACCAACCTTAATAAACTTACACACTACCTAAGTGCTCATCGTCTAAATTTCCTGAATGGGTTTTCCATTCTTACTGTCGAGTATAAAACTTGTAGTGGAAGGAAAATTGTCTCAAGCATGGAAACCACCCACTTTTTTGTTGCTAATAGTCATCTGGGTGGAGTCTATAGTTTGAAAGGGCACGCTAGCGAGTTACTGTACAAACAAATCGTTGTTGATGTCACTAGCTTTGTGAACGAAAGGCAACATTTACCCTGAAGCAAATCGCACCTTGTAAGTTAAAACACCTATGAGCAAAAGTAGTCTCTTGAAATGCCTGGCTTGAGATGCTTATAGCTACATTTCTGCAAGAACCGCTCATTTCCGTTTCTTTTCCAAAGACTAGACGGAGCCCGACAGTTAATGTGTTGCTCAGGATTCCTTTGAACGTTACCTTCTTCTGAGTCTCTTCCCCTGAAACTCCGGTCATCATCGTCATCCACGCTGTCGAGTTCCTCTTCATCGTTGTAATAATCCACCATAGGAGAAATCAAAGTGGAAGCCATTTATCCGCGTGGATGTAAACAAACATGAAATAAACAATCGATTTGTGTTTTGCAGGCTTCTTGAAACTGCGCCTACAATTGGCAGGACCTCTGTATGCCATGCTGTCCACGTATATGCCTGTACACAATTTCTGTAAAAAAATAAAAACAATAAAATAATATCGGCATACATTGCTTGTATTTAATAATTTAAGTTAATAAAAGTCAAACTGTGTTTCATAAAAACTTACGATTGACAGAAATAATATTTTTATTAATTGTTTCAAGAGCACTGGAATCTATGCAAACGACCAAAGTGCCGATTATAAAATGGGAACTCCGTTTAATTTTTGAGATTCAAATAGTTTGGCTCAGCTACCAACGGGAACTAACTTTTTCGGTTCCCAAACGATTCATTGCCTGATTTTGCTACTAGTTTTGATTATGAAAGTCACATTTCTATATTTAAATATACAACGCACACATCACAACTGTTACCATATCTAACAGGTGGAAATATATAGTTTAAGTGAGAGTCTTTTGTCACTTTCAATTGGCTTTTACTTAGCGATGCAGCACAACTATTGTTTGCAGAATTTACCTACGTTTGTTAACGAAGAATAATACTTTCCGGTGAAAAAACTGGGTCACAACGCTCATTCAAAGAGTTGGGAAACTCTTATGGATCGGTTACTATCAGCACATTTTAATAACTTTAATTTGGCTAGATCACTGTCAAGTTTGGTGTGATTAAAAACAGAAGACACATCACCAGCTTCAGATTGAGCCTGGATGTTATTTTGACTCTCCCTTCATTCAAAGTAATTTTTTTTTCTTCTTTTCTTTTTATTGCAGCCTTTAAAATACAAAGTTGCAGAAAACGTAATGGTTTTGTTAATTTAAATACATTCTTTTTAAATTAATAAAAAATAATTGAGTGGCCTTTTGACAAATTCTTGAGTTATTTCTTGGATAATTACATTTACTTTAAGTAATGCTATACACACAGTTCTTCGTTATGAGGACAAAAGAAAAAAAAAACTTAACTTACAACAGCAGATGGCAGCATTGCATCGAGTATATATTGTTTCTTTCCTGGAGTTGCAACAGAATCGGGTATGACTCAGACCATGCATCTTTAATGATTCGCAAAGAAAATAAGGTGCAAGTTTTCTGATCGTTTATTTTAAGGGAGGGACAATTTTGTTTTCGTTAAAGCAACTCCACTCTAACGCCAGAATATGTGCATTTGATCTTGTTAAACGAGCACAGAACATCTCAGTAATGTATAAATATATTAGGAAAAAAATAACTTGTTAACAAAGAAACCCAGAGCCTGTAAGGCGCACATCCTCCTGCGGTCCACTCAGCAGGCAACTTTATTTCCGCCTGCCTGTCAAAGTAACTGTCAAACACGAGCGAGGGGTTGTTCTGCTCTCCCGCGGCTCCGTCATTCAGGAAGTCTAGACCAACTGACAGCACTTCGCGAAGTCGCACCGACATCTTCAAAGTCGGACTAAACACTTTCTAAAGTACGCATTATCTTTTTTCTTTCTTTCTTCTTCTTTCTTAACCTGGACGACTTTCACAAAAGGTGAGCGGCTTTCCCCTCTTTGATGTTGCCACCGTTTGTCAGTTAACAGCTTGCGCTAAAGCCTCGCGCTCTCAAACTGAACTGACACTTCCTCTCGTGTCAGCGGCTAAGCTACTGTAGCTAAATGTCAGAGGGTTTTTTTTTTAAAAAAGTGGATCTTATTGAGTACATTGGAGTTAGAGACGGTCACCGTCGTTTTGGTTTTTGCTTCGGCTTGTTGTCTGAACGTCAGTCCACTCAGAGGTGGTGAGTAGGTAACACACAGACACCAGCATCGCTGGGTTTAAAGTGCGTAGGTTTGTCTTTTTAATGGGCATAACGAAGTGTTCATTCTCGCTTCAATGCACCTGCTCTTAAATGTTTTTTTATGTATATTTTTAAGGAAAAAAAGCTGCGCCGAAATGTGCATGTTTTACACTGACGAGGGAATAAGCTTTGGTGTTTGGTTTGCTCCTTTTGGAGGGGGTGAGTACGCTGAGCCAACGGGTGACAGGTTGTAGTGGAAGTGTGAAGCTGAAGGGGGGTTGTAAGACGACAATGCGACTGGATGTTGTGGGAACTTGTCCTGTGTGTAATTTTAGCACTGTCATGTAGAGCCTTTCGGTGTGTAACACCAGAAATGACTGTGGTACCTTCCATTGTAGCCTGCCTTGTTGTGAGTGAGATTTTACTATCAGTGCGTAGTCGCAATGGCTATTGAGACAGCAACGTCCGCCACAACATGACCCCCAACCTCATTTTGGTTCATATGTCTGCGCTCGTTTATCTGTTTATCATAGTATTTTTATGCACTTCATTTTAAGGCAATGTTTCATCCGTTGTCTGCGACAATAATAATAAAAGACGCACGTCATTTGTTATTTCCTACTTGAAATAATTTTCTCATGTCGTCACCTGCAGACAGATTTATGCTTGCTTAAATTTACTGCTTTGGCAAAACGTTAGGCATGCTCGACTCTGGAAATGGCAGACGTAGATAGCAAGCTGAGCACTAAAACCCAATCTGACCCAACATGATGTCATCTCTTGTGTGTGTAGAGCTCACGAGTGAGTGAGCGAGAGGCAGCAGGAGCCGCGTTACAGAGCTAAACTGTGTCATTTGTAAAGATTTATTTTAAGAAGCCTGCCCACGAAGTTATAGACAGGAATCAACAGAAAGAGCTGTAATCCTTCACTATGACATTGCAACTGCATGTCATTCAGATTGATTTACGGTATTTTTAGACATTTTGTTTCCAGTTTTTAGCTTTACAGGATTGTAGTAGTTGAAAACAAATGTAAACTCAATTTACTTCCTTTGCATAATAGACTGGTGCATATTTGGCTGGAAAGGATGCTGCTCTACCTAAGCACATACAGGAAACTGAATGTTTTTTTTCTTCCTCTTGAGGTTTCTGATTTTTTTAGCAGGTTTCAAAGCACAGTTATGTGGGTCCTTTCATATCTCATAGTTACCTTTTAAACATGCACTGATAGTCGGAACAGAAAGTGACTCGTTTCCTTGTGATTTGCAGGACAATTCACTGTTTATGATCCTAACTTGATTGTGTAATTTGCACATAAATGTTGCTCTCATTCTGATTTTTATTGGTGTACAGGCCCTCAGGTTATATGTTGTAGGACAGTAAATATAGAGATTCTGTGCCTAATTTTCTATCAGATTTAGTAAAGGTATTTATTCAAATTTTGAACAATAAATGTCAATCTTCTATTTTACTTTAGTGTGAAATTGAATGTGTTTGTCTTCTCAGAAAGGTATAGTAAGGCAAAAAGATGATTTCTATTAAAATGTCCAAACATTAAAAAAAAAAAAACTGTCTATTTCTGCATACCTGAATATCTTCAAATTCTGTTTTGTACATTTTCGTACAAGTTTATGTAAAACAAAGTTTTATATCCCTATCCATTTTACAGTTAATTTTATGTGTTGCCTCTGTACATGAGCTTTTGTGTTGTGATCAGTTATTTTTTTTACATCACGACCAGACGCAACATCACCCTGTTTGTGTGAGAGAGCAAGAAGATTTACACAGCGTAAATGTTAAACAGAATTTTACTACTTTAAGACAAAGACTTGATTATTGAGTTGATATTTCAAAGCATCATTGCCCCAGATATTAGCAGAGTTACTGTTACTAAAAGAAGCTGCTATGTGTATTTTCTGTAGAAAAGTTTAAACGTTCTTTTGAGATTTCTTAATCCAGATGGAATTAGTTTCTTAACTGGGAAAATCAGAGCAACGTTGTTTTCATATGTTCACCTTTCTATTATCTGATTATTTACTCATTGTAGCTGTTTGAATGAATAGGCAACATGCATTTATTGAAAATATTCTTCCCTTTTTAAAAGATTTTTAACATCTTTTTATTGGTGTACTGGCCTACAGGTTATATTCCTTTAACCGTCTCAATGATATTCAGTATATCTGTCTTCTTTACACCAAAATAATTTATACACTTAATAGTCTTATTGCTTGCTTATGTTTTGGTGCATTTACTAACTATGAAAAAAGAAATGTGTGCATATCAATGACTCTTGTGAGATTGGTCAAATATTTTTGGGGGCGTTGGGAGTGGGTGGTACTGAGAAACATTATTACAGTGTTTATCCATCCTTTAAAAAGCCTTAGATTCATGTATCCGAAATTAAATATCTTAAATTTATATATATTTGAAAAAGGTAAACTGGTCTGAAATGCGTAAACAGGTCTTAAATTTTGTATTAGTGGGACAGTTATTCTTATAGAACTTTCTTTTTATTTCTTTCGTGGGACTTTTTTCTCAGTCAAAAATTTGAGTTGAACGCGGACATCTGCACTGCGTTTTAACATTTCTTTGCTTGCTAGCTAGCTTTATGCATCCATCATGGATTAGTGTAAATTTATTTCTTGTTCGCTGGAAAAAGTTTGTATGTTTCTGTGGAGATAAGCGCCTTAAATTTTATGCACAGTGGTCTTAGAAAGGTCTTATAACATCTTAATTTTGAGTTGATTTCTCAGTAGTTTAGTCACCAGATTTAGGGTTAAATAATCATTTAATTTTATTAGCATTTTCTAGTCACATGATTTTTTCTATCTGCCAAAAGTTTGAATAATTTTGGGCTTCTATATATAATTCCACAAACTCCATGACCTTGTTTGAACCGAGCCACCAAATGATTTGTACTTGCAGTCATGTTTTTATTGTAACTATCTCTTGTGTCCCATGATATTAAGTAGCAACCGGGATGCTTTTGCTTTGATGAGCTGTGATGAGAACACGGTCACTAAGCATTAAGGTGTTATTGCTACGTTGTTACTGTTTGATGCTAGGTTTTAAAATGCCTTGTTTGCATCTATCACTTCCTAATGACAGGAAGCTACAACAAGAACAGACTCTTTTATAACAGACTTTGAAGACAGAAATTTGTTGGTCTCTCAGTTGATGTGAAGGAAGGAGTGAGGCATCCTGGGAGGTTCAAATTGAGCCACCTCAGAGCCATCAATGGAGGGTGCCAGAGAGCCCCTTTTGTGAATAGGGTCAAAGCTGGGGTGTCACAGGCAGCACCCCCACTGTTACCCTCATTATTAGCATCTTACTCATAGTCTCTTTATTTCAGGTGTTGCTTATCTAAGCTGATGTTTTGAAACGGTTGACTGTTGAGTTTGAGTTGCCTTTGCAGCCATATCACAGTATCTTTTACTGAAAAAAATGAAATGTTTCCCTACAGACTAACACAAAATTGAGCAAGCCTAAAAACAAAACTGCAGCCTGTGGCATTGACATTCATAGTTTGCATAGACAGACACCACAAATAGATGAGTAACAAGGTAAAAAACATGTTTTTTGTGCATTGGTTGTGTTCAGTAAAAATCAATTTGAGCTCTTTCGACTTGTCTCAGAAGTTAGTTTGGATGTGGGATGGATGAAAACCAATTGGAGTTGCTCATTATTGTGCTCGGTCACCAGGGTAAATACTATTAACAGAATAAACTGATGAAATGTTTTTCTCTGTTCTAAGCATTGAAAACATAGAGAAACATACTAAAAATCAAAGCTTGTAGAGTTCTGTCTGAACCATGGGTTTAAAAAGAGATGGTATGTCAAATCTGAATTCTTGGTCAAAATTTCAACTTCAGAAGACATTGAAATGGATTTCTTTCTATTTCGGAAATTCACTGTTTACTGCAATTATTAACAATCTTTGGGTGTTTTATTTTTTAAGGGTAAAATTCACCAATGAATAAAGTGGGAGATTATGGAAGTTTTTAAATATTACAATAACTTTAGATGAAATATTCTTTTTTCTTTTTCTACCTACTAACATCCTAACTAACACGTCTGATACAAATTTTTATTAACTTTCTAGATACAATCAGAAAACATCATGTAATGTTTTTCACCTGAACTGAAAACAATGCACTTGTTTCTATTCACATTTCTAGGGGCTAAGCCCTTAAAAAACAATTATGTGGTCCATTTTTCAAAGTCAGTATTTGTAGTGTTGGTTAACTATGCTGTAGGACCAGAACCTATCAATATTAAAGTGATGCTTTCAGGCTTAATGTTCTTCAGTGATATGATTTAGTATGTTTAACATAGACATGCTGTCTTAGATGACAAGGAAAATGTTGCTCTCCCTACCCCCAATGTCTCTTGCACTTGCAGATGTGCTCATGCATACTGCTTTTAATGATGATTTCAAAAGACAGCAAAACTCTGCACTGCTACACGATGTTGGTCTTGTGAAGTCAGCAGGAGGAGAATCAGTGAATATATGTGGTAACTGGATTACTCAACAGCTATAATGGCACCTTTTATTGTAATATAAATTTTAAGAACTATATCATATACAGTCATCTTTACAGCCTAAAGATGGCTGTAATTGAATTGATTGATCATCGCATAGTTTTAAGGTCTTTTATTCATTCTACAATAACTGTATTTATTTAATTTATATATTGTTTCATGACTACAAATGCTCATGAGTTTAAAGGAACAGTATTATGTAAAATTGACTTTTTTTAGCTTTATATCTTGTTATAATTTTCTTTCATCAAAACAAACCTGGAGTGTTGCCTTGGTTAACTATTATATATCACTATTTAAATTAACCCTTTATATAGCGATATGTATATATCACTATATATATATCTAGAACAACTATAGGTAACATACTTGATTGTGCTATAAAATGGCACCACATGTCTGGAAAAAAACATGACACTGCCACTTTAATGCACTGTTACAGCCAATTTCTTCTGCATGGTATTCCTGAATTTAATGGAAACAGTGTATTTGTACCACTGAATGTAATCCCACTCATTGGAAACATGTAGAATGGGTCCAGTCACGACACAGCAGCTGATGTGTACCTGAGTCACGGTCTTGATTTTCTAAATGTTGTCTCAGAGGGAAAGAAACTGTGATGCAACAGATGCACCCTCATCAAATAGCTTTAAAGTGACTGTTCCACCTCTGCTGTTCAGTCAACACCTTATAATGATGACAAACCGTCTTAGTCTGAGCAGTTGCTTTAGATCTTTGGTCAGCTGGAAGATCAAGCTGTCATCCTTTGAAGTTTATTCTAATGAAAATATTGTTCATGAAAAGGAATTCATTGCAGTATATTTCATAAAAGCCCATCTGGGGGCATATAATCACCTGTACTGATCCTCTGGGTTTTTTTTTCACGTTTTATAAGCTCTCCTCTAGCACATCTGGCTTAAACTGACTAAACACACAATTTATTGTCATTTTATACAATAATAGAAATCAGCCTAGTAAACACACCTCTTGAGTATTATACCTCTTGAGCATTCTGTTCTCCATTGTTTTTTCTTTCTTCGGAATTTGTTATAAAAGAGGCATTTTGGAAAGTTGGTTGCAGTGGGTGTGGAAAGTTGGGGTGAGTGACTCCATTACAGCCCTTTATTACAAGAATGTCTCGAATCCTCAGGGCCAAGTTGCAGCTGTGGCCATGAGTCGTCCCCCTCTACCCCCTCGCACCTCTTTCCTCTCCAATGTTGTCTCTTTTGAAACCTCATCATGTTTGGCTGCATTTGCCTGCTCTCCAGCGCTGTTGTGAAATCTCTAAGCCTTTATCTTTTCCTTCATGACTAGGCTAGCTCGACATGCTGAGGAATTATGAGGAGTTATTCCCATCAGCCAAACATACATCACCATTGGCGACCGCTGATTTGTGTTATATCTGCCCTCCACCACTCCTCCGGATCTAGGGCTTATTTTAGCTCGGCAGAGAGAAGGAAAAGGCTCAGACGCAAGTATTTTTAGAAATACATAGTAATAGGGCTCTTAAAAAAAATTCAAAGTGTCATGTCATAGCCCTACAATTGGTTTGTTCTGCTGACTTTCCATTGCGTCCTTCAGGGAGAATTCCAGTGTGCAACACTAGCTTAGCAGAGCTGGGCATGTCAGCAAGGCTTAGGATGCATGCTTATGATGGACACGTCTGCTGATGTGAGTGAGGATGAGGTAATGTGCTGTACCACACTGCTCTAATTTAGGAGCAACCTTTGACTTACTCAAATGCTTATTTGTCTCATAGCTATAAAAATACTCAGCAACCTTGAAGTTACAAAGTAAAAAATAATTTGTTTCATTGGGCAACTGAATTTTCAGGTCAGACCTACGGTTTATTGAGGCTGTTATTTTTTTCAGTGGGGGCATTATCTAATGACTGTTGCTCATTTACAGATGATTCTGGGTTTTGAGGATGTTTTTTTTTTTTTTGACCTGGCACTATCGGCCAACTCTGAAGCAAAGGCTTGAAAACTCTTCTTCTATCAGGCCACCACAGTGTGCGCCAAACTCACCCCCATCCCCCAGTCCCAAGAGAATGTAGGCCTCAGCCCAAGCTCTGTGCGGCTCTAATGCTGTAACTGGACAGCCTTCATTGGGTCAAGTGGAGATTTGCTTCGGAATCTAGGGGAGATTTTGTAATGTTCTCACCAACCACCAGTGTGTCAGGATAAATATAAGTTTGTATAATTGGGGAAAAAATGATTCTGTCTTTGGCACAAGAGCACAGATTTGAAACAAAATGCAACAGCATGAAGGCAAAAAGTTGAATGTCAGGAACATGTCTTGTCTTATCAGTTTCTTATCTGCATACCTCCGATTTTTTTAGACTAGATGTTTGCTGGAAATGTACTTGAGATTTGTGGCTAATTGCTGATCTATTATTTTCTTAAGATTTGTCCTTCTGATACAAATTTTAGTTCATTTGTAACTTTTCTTTACAATAATAATTTAGTACATTGGAAGCATGCAGATAGTGGAGAAAGTGAGGGAGCACACATCGTATTAAAGGATTTCACTTTTTTTAAATGAAGAGAATTTGGAGTTCAGTTTGTAAACTAAATTTAATGTTATTATGTTAAATTTATTAGGGAAGATAGCACTATTAAAATTGACATTTTGTCCCTGTAGAGCATAGACTTGTTTTGGCCCATTTTCAGATGGTTTTCCAGTCGCCCAATTATATATTTTTTGTGTTGTGCATAGTGTTTTGTAAAAGTGATTCACACCTCGTGACAAGCTCCTGATCAGTAATCGTATGGTCACACAAAAATCCAACTTGTTTGAAATTCTGGTGGTTCCTTGTGAGGGAATCACACTGTTGAAAAGCAGCAACAAGAATCAAATTTACATGAAGCTCTTACACTCAAAAGTCTCTCACTGGAATGTTTCTTAAGAAAGTATGAAAGTAATTTGGCTTATTATAATTAGTACAGCAAGCAATGTGATGCATTACTATCATAATTAAATGTTGCTTGCTTGAAAGTGGATGTGTTGGAAAAAAATACAGGCAGAATTTTGAATACTGGAGTTTATTAACTTTCAGCATCTTCAAAGTCATATGAAAGAGAATATTTTTTCCTTAAGCATTTCTATCTGCATATTTGATTCAAGTTCACTTATGTCTCTCATAGATGCAATACACTGTGAAGTACTGTGATGGACTGGCGACCTGTCCAGGGTGTACTCCACCTCTCACCTGAAACATTAGCTGGAGATAGGCACCAGCACCCTTCCCAACCCCACTAGGGACAAGAGTGTAGGAAAATGGATGTATGGAGAAAAGCAAGTAATGCAAAGGAAGCATGTTTGTTTTTGTTGAGCATTTTTAGTTTTGGTTAGTGTCTCCTCATTTTTGTTTTTTTCTTATTCTCTGTAACCTTGCGATGTAATCGTAAAGATGGAGCTGGAGCTGAATGCAACTGAAAATATAGTGCAGTGTATGCCAAGTTTACTTGACCTTTGAGATTTCCAGACGACTGCCAACTTTTCCAAATTCAGTATGTTCCATGATGGGCAAAGGTTGAAAGCACAAAATCAATAAAATAGAGAAACTCTGGTGGCATCTCACATCTTTCTACTTTCTTAGATTTCATTTTTAATCACTTTATTGGCTCTGAAAATATCAAGCCTTGGGATTTTTTTCATTCAGACTACAGTGTTGTTACCCTCATCTGGTAGCACTACGGTTTGTTTCATTTATTCATGGGGAGACGGGAGAGTAAACTTTTGCAACAAAGAATGTACATTTTCTCCTGTGTATTTATTGACAAGAAAGAAACTCATATGTCAGAAGTGCAAAGCCAGAAGGCCTCAAACCTTAGGATAATTGCAGTTCTACCAAAAGGCTTATAAGGAAGTAGTGAAATTATCAAGCTATCAAAGAGACCAATCCATGCAGACACCATCGCTTATTTTTATAGACAATGACCTTCCTGCCCCATATCCGGCTATTGTTTCCGAGTAGGACTCTGGGCCTCCATCAGATAGGCCATAGGGTCTCTTGCAAATGCTAAGCAGAGCAAAGGAACATGATTGCAATACTTTGTTGGACTTAGTTGAGTTTTGTTTTATTTCTAAAATGTTCCTCTCAGGTTTTATGAAGACCCAGACGTGAACATTTCCCAAGTAGAAGTTGTAGGTTCCAAATTCTCCAACCTTTGTGTAGTAATTGATCAATAACATGACTAATTTAATTAGTAGCAATGCAATCAGAAGATCTCAAACAACTTGATTGCTGATATTTTTTTCGCCAATGCTGTATAACTCAAATTTTGTGGACTAAAATTAGTCACTCCAACATGACCACTGACTGCTTTCCTTATGTTTACCATTTTACCCAAACCTGGTATGTCTGGCAGGATTTTTTAAAAGTTTTGTTTCCCATTTTGGTTTGAGTAATTCTCAGCTCAGTTCACCAGTCTGAAATTCTTAATCGACACCTCACTGATCTAATGTAATCCTTGAGATCTAAAAGAGGAAGAGGGTGGGTAAGTTCTAACACTAAATGAATTCCCATGCTAATGGCTGGCTGACTACCCGTGGGAACTCTGTGTAAATCGTAATGATGATGGTATACATCATTTATATTGTGAGTCTATATATATATATATATATATATATATATATATATATATATATATATATATATATATATATATATAACTCCCTTCTCACCCACCGCGGGTGGTTCTTATCCTCTGAGCTCGGGTCCTCTACCAGAGGCCTGGGAGCTTGAGGGTTCTGCGCAGTATCTTGGCTGTGCCAAGGACTGCACATTTCTGGACTGAGATATCTGATGTTGTTCCTGGGATCTGTTGTAGCCATTGCTAAAAAAAAAATAAAGGGAACACTTAAATAACACACCCTAGATCTGAATGAATGAAATAAATATGAAAATAATTTCCACCTGTTGTCTAATATTTGCACAACAGCAGGTGACATTGATTGTCAATCAGTGTTACTTTCTAAGTGGACAGTTTGATTTCACAGAAGTTTGATTTACTTGGAATTATATTGTGTTGTTTGAGTGTTCCCTTTATTTTTTTCAGCAGTATATATATATATATATATATGTATAAAAACTAAGTGACAAACACGCGAAATGACTCAGTGGACCAGATGTGCATTTCTTTTTTGGGGGTTTCCTCTCTTACATTTCCTCTCTGTGTCTTTTATCTTTCAGTTTGTATTCTGTTTTCATTTGACAAAGAAAGAAAATGTGAAGATAGGATACAGCTTAGCATGCTTTGGCTTCTCTCATTGTGCTGTATCTTTTGAAGTCAAGCAGGTAAATAAATGATCAGCAGCTGTATTACTTCATTTACTTTGAAGCAACTAGCCACAAAGATCAGATTTAAATGGTTGCATTCATTGTAGTATATTTTGTGAAACTTTAAGTAGACCCATTTTGTTTTTTTTTATTTTTATGGTCAAATTACACTATAGGTGCATTCAAACACTTTCACTCATGCTTATGGGTAAATTTGCGAAAAGTAAACTCAATGAAATTTTATTTTGTGACATTCTACTTTGCAATTGCACTTTTGCTTTGTTCCCAACTCAATGAGTAATCACATAAATTGATCTTAGGTCTACAACATCAGGAAGTCGTTTTAATTGGGATATTAATATTGAATATTGTGATGACAATTGAGCTAAATTTTCCTCACTTCTCTGCATAGATGTTCCCTGGGTTGAGAGGCTAAGCTCATGTTCATTCTCCTCGACGAGCTTCATGCAGAGTGGTTCTAAAAAATTTCTGACTTTAGCAAACCTCTATTAGCTTGCAAAGAATAAGGTCAGAGAAAAAGCTATAATTCTGTACCTTCTTTCTAAATCAGTTGCATCAGATCATGGAATGTTAAAAAGCCTTGATCATCCACCATGTCAGAGAAAGATGGACGCATGTAAGGCTTAGTACTTATTCAACTGTGCCATTTATGGTAGTGAAGCACCCATCTCTACTAGCTAATGGTTGTTCAACTTCTCCATTAAATTTTTGTCTTTTAAATATTTTATTGTGAATAAAACTCTGCAAGAAGCTGTAGCATGTTGTAGTCAGTAATCATTTTCCTTCTTCCCTGCTGTCACTATGTAGCCATAAAGTAGGCCTCTGTTAATCTTTCTGCTGCTTTGGATTGAAAAACCCTGTTGGGCTTTAGAGAACTACACTCCACTCTCTGGTGCCCACTTGTTTAAACGTGCACACAAGCTTGGAGTTAAAAATACATCAGCTGGTTGGCGCTTCCACACAGGTTAAAGGTTCTGCTGTTTCTGTGGGAATCTAAACTGCTAAATGAATGACCATATCTTTTTGTGCACAGGTGTCAAACTCCAGTCCTGGAGGGCCATTGCACTGCAACTTTTAGATGTGCCTCTGCTGCCCCACACCTGAATAGAATAATTAGGTCATTAGCAAGGCTCTAGAGAACTTCTCTATACAGGAAGGAGGTAATTAAGCTATTTCATTCCAGTGTTTTGTACCTGTGGCACATCTAAAAACTGCAGGACAGTGGCCCTTGAGTTTGACATCCCTGTCCTTGTGTAATAATTACTGTGTGGTGTGTTGATCAGAACATATATCAAGTGTGAAGATTTGCTACCATTGTTCAACACATTAATTCTTTTACATGGCCTTTTGGGAAAGCAGCTGGGTGGTGCAGTAGATGTTTACTGTGCTGTCTGGGACTCTTGGTCTCTGCATAAGTCTAAAAGTTTTAATTTATGCAAATTGTTGATCTTTAAATGTTGTACACATAGATTAAAACATATTAAAACTAAACTGTATGAAAGTTTGTAAATGTCCCTAGAGGAAAAAATAAAAGTATTGTGGACAAACGAGGTTAAATATCAATTAGGATTGCTATCTGAGGTCCTGACCTTTGGGGGTCACATTGTTAAGATTGACTGCTTCTAGAGCTAAACTGGTAGGAAAGCAAAACACTGGCTCTTCGATTAGTGTTGGTGTCACCATCAGTGTGTTTAACATGACTGAGCTCAGCTGGAACTGAGGTCATATTGATTGGGCATCAACCCCAGGCTGACTTATGTTACTATCAATTCTCAACTATATCAATTATAATTGTGGTTGAAAAATATTCCAAATGTAAAGACAGCTCACAGGATTTGGGTACAAACACTGGGAGAGGATACCAGATCTTATGACATTGATAATACTGGAATAACACAAACGTCTCTGAAAACATGTACATGTCACTTTCAGGTGTTTAGAAATTTTACATGAAACATAAAACAGACTTACTCAGGTCCACAATCCTCTTCCTGATATCTTGCCAATTTTATTTGATGTTTCCATGATATCACACAACGATCCAGTCTGCTTGGGGTGCTGAATAAGAAAAACAAAAATTACAGGTCATCTACAGATGGGTTTCCAGTTGTGTCAAATGATATGGATTTGACACAGAGGCTTTCAAGGTCATGACTACCCAAATTGCCGATTTGTTTAAACGTTTTGGTGTGTAAACTTGGTCAGTGTAAATCTGACTTGAAACTAGGTCAAAAAGTCTTTCTTCCTTTTTCTACCAGAGCCATTGTGACTGGAAAAATATTTCTCTATCCACCTTATTCCTAGGAGGCTCACTGGGGAAGCGATTACTTCCGGCACTCACTGGAAGCAGTAGTGTTTCATTGTCATTTGTGTTTTCTCTCTAATCTATATTCATGAAAGAAGTTACGTCTCTCTTTACGATTATTGTACAATATTTAGTAAAACTTGTTTACGGTCAGGCCTTCTGCTATCAGAGAGCTGCTCAGTACAGAGGATCGTAATTATGAGTTTAATCACGGGGAGTGACAAGAGCACTATCGTTAAGTTTTGTGATGGAATGATTGTGACTTAGCAGCACTGCTCCTCTGACAAACTCACAGTGATATAGGAGAGAAAAGCACAGGACTGGTCAGAGAGCAACTTGCTGGAAAGGGTACGATGCCCTTGTGGAGCTCGGGTAACTTGTGCTAACAATCTGACAAGTTTAGTTTGTGGCTGCAGCAACAATGTGTCTTGAACGTGCTCCCAAAACAAAAAGGCAGTGTATCTGTGATAAGCGACAGATAAAGAAACAAAAAGAATTTGGCTAAAAGTTCTAAACTTGGAAGAGAGAACCCAAAATGCTTTATGTGTGATCATTTCATTGTGTGGACAAAAAGCAACAGAAGAAAGCCTAAATATGTATCTGCCGCAACTGAGACAGTGAAGTAGCTAGATATGCTAGTGCGGGTTATTTGCGGCCATTTCTTCAAGTCGCCATCCCACCCCTTAACAGC